TGCTTCCTTTAATAAAAAAAAAAAAACAACAACATTAAAATATTTTTTCTTAACCAAAATCTTTTACTCTTCCCTGTTTGAGTTCTCCCTCCAATCTGATTTCTGGCTCTGTTTCACATCAATACCTGCCTTGGTGCTGGCAGAGGCTGCAGGACAGACCTGGGACCTGATTCCCTTTATCCAAGAGCCATCCTCACTCCTAAACAAGCCTAAAAACCACAGATTCTATGGAAAGCTAATTAATTTTGCACATTTTCCCTCTCCTATTCACTGTTGCCACACAATCCCACAAAGGCAGGACTGTGTTCAGCCTCTGTTAATTAACCAGAGGCATCCCAAGGCCACCTGATCCATACTAATTGGGCAGTGTGGAGCAGGAAGGATGCTTAAAGGCCCAGGACAGCTCTGAAAGCTGAATTAAGCCATGAAATCTCCTCCAAGATCCCACTCTCCACCAGGAGCCACAACAGGATCTCCATGAGCAACTGGGAAGAATTTTGGCTTGTGTTTTATTTTTTTTAACATTTGTGCCTTTTGAAATTCAGTCTTTCATTGGAATTAAAATGAGAAAATTAACATGAAAGGAAGGAACAAGACAAAGGCTGGCAAGTGACCCTCAGCACACAAACTGAGCTGCTGAAGTGGCTGCAGACAGGAGCTGGGATCCCAGATTTCAGCACCCAGAGTGGCAGGAAGAGTTTCCATCCCTGGCACCTTCTGCCTGTGGGGTTCAGCACATTTCTCTGCCTCTCCCCTCAGTTTGGCTCTGCTGTTTGTCCAGGGATTCACTGGGAGCCAAGGCCAGGCTGCCTGGGGCTGCATCACTGGCACTTGGATCTCAGCAGTGCATTCAAATAGATTAAAATTCTGAATATTAATGATTCCACTGAAAGAATTCCCAAAGCTCACACTGGGAGATGTGGGAATGCCATTCCCTGTCACCATCATATTTTCTGAAAAATCCCTTTGCCAGGATTTCCTCTCCTGGCAAGCTGAGAAGCCTCGGGGAGGAAAATGAAAACAATAATTATCTGATCTGCTTCTCCTGTGTTTTGCTGCTTTGGACATTGTTTACCAACTGGCCATTGTTTGATTGGTTTCATGTGAATTGTTTTAACTTAATGACCAATCACAGTCAGGCTGTGTCAAGGCTCTGGAGAGAGTCACAAGTTTTTTATTAGTATCTTGTTAAGCCTTCTGTAAGTATCCTTTCTCTATTCTTTAGTGTAGTTTAGTATAGCATTCTTTAATATAATATAATATCAGAAAATAATAAATTAGCCTTCCGAGAACATGGAGTCAGATTCATCTTTCCTCCCCAAACAGGGGACCCCAAAATTATCACAATTCCCAGCACTTCCAAGCTGTGGCTGCTCTCCTGTTAACCCAGGAGGCATTAATCAAGTGCTTTACAGCTGGATTTAGGACAATTAGCCATATTTATATTTAAATATCTATTTGTACCACAGCTGTGATAAATCAATATTATATATTTCAATGTTTTATAAAGTATTATCAGAGAGTCATTGAATGGCTGGGGTTGGAAGGGACTTTAAAGTCCATCCCTGTGCCATGGGCAGGGACACCTTCCACTATCCCAGGCTGCTCCAAGCCCTGTCCAGCCCGGCCTGGAGCACTTTAAATTCCTATACATCCAGCAATAATCCATAAATATACACCCACATGGTGTTTGTGAGGTCCCCAGGACAAAGTGAGAGATGAGAATCTGACTCCAAGTTCTCAGAAGGCTGATTTATTATTTTATGATATTATATTAAAGAATACTAAACTAAAACTGTACTAAAAAATAGAAAGGAGACATCAGAAGGCTTAACAAGAATGATAATGAAAGCTCCTGACTGACTCAGAGAGTCTGACACAGCTGGCTGTGATTGGTCAATAATTAAAAACAATTCACATGTTTGGATAAACAATCTCCACATTCCAAAGCAGCAAAACAGGGAGGAGCTGAAGCTTCCCAGAAGAAATCCTGGTGAAGGGATTTTTCAGAAAATATCATGGTGACACACACACAAAAATATCAAAGCTGTCTCAAGCTCTGGATACACAACAAAGGAGGCAAATCCACGTGATGTGGTTTAGACCTGACATTATCTGCACAAGAAACTGATCTGCAGGGTTTTGTAAGCAAATCACAGCGCCTTTGTCACTGTCTCTGCTGCTCCAGCTGCTCAGATCCCTACACACAACATCTCCCATGGATTACCAGGCTAAATCCCAAACAGCCAAGGAACAGGATTAGGAAATGCAGATGAAGAGGCCTGGGTTGAAAATGCCAACGAGACCTTAATTCCATCTCCTCCTGTGCATCTGCAGCTACAGAACTTTAAATTCTGTCTGGGGCACCAACAGCACCTGGAGCTGCTGGGGTGAATCCAGGGGAGCTCATGGAGCTGCTCCAGGGCTGGAGCCAGGCTGGGAGAGCTGGGGGTGTTCACCTGGAGAGGAGAAGGCTCCAGGGAGAGCTCAGAGCCTCTGCCAGGGCCTAAAGGGGCTCCAGGAGAGCTGGAGAGGGACTGGGGACAAGGGATGGAGGGACAGGACACAGGGAAAGGCTTCAAAATGACAGAGGGCAGGGCTGGATGGGACATTGGGAATGAGGAATTGTTCCCTGGCAGGGTGGGCAGGCCCTGGCACAGGGTGCCCAGAGCAGCTGGGGCTGCCCCTGCATCCCTGGCAGTGCCCAAGGCCAGGCTGGAGCAGCCTGGGACAGTGGAAGGTGTCCCTGCCATGGCAGGGGTGGATGGGATGATCCTTAGTGTCCCTTCCACCCCAAACCAGTCTGGGATTAGTTATTGCAGCTGCCCCCAGCTCTCTGAGTTCCTGCCTCCTTCCCCTTCCATGAAAAACCCAGTTCAGTGGAGCTGGGATAGATGTTCAGGCAGGTGACAGCTCCATCCCTGACACACAGGCAAAGGGATCCTTCTTTGAACCAGGAGTAGGAATTTGGAGCTGGGGAACAAAATTTAGAACAATCAGCTGTAGGCACAATGCAGAATGTGAGATCAAATGGAAAATTACAAAATCATCAGTACCTGGAAGAGGCTTCAGAGGAGAAGAGGTCAAGGAACCTTAATTACAACTATCAGTATTTGAACACCTGATTTGAGATGGAAATCCTACAAGTTTTACATTTGAATGGCATAGGGAATAACCTTAAAGAGGAAAAGCACTGCCAGAACGTGAAGCAACTTAAGGATGGGAAAGAAATCCTGATTTTGTGCCACAAAACCCGAATAAAAATGAAGAGGGGAAAAGAGGGAGAGGAGGAAATGCCAGCCCAGATCTCTGAGCACCGCCCATGCCCACCAAAAGCTCATCCCACTCCTCAGCCATGCCAGGAACAGACTCCCCATCCCACTCCCTTCAGCATTTTTAATTCCATTTGCTAAATACAATTATCCATAAAGACTGAAATTACTGGCAGTGTTGGTGCCACCCAGATAATCCCTGTGTGAGTCACCAGACACGTTTTTCCATGGAATATTAACAGTTCCCTGACCCAGAGGGGTTTTCCAATTCTTCACAGTTGTAACCTATGGAAAGGAGGCTGTAGGCAGGTGGGAGTTTATATCTAAATACACAGATTTGAGAGTGACTTTTTATTTTGAATTTATGCAAAGCACTGCCTATTCCATCCAAGGCAAACTCAGAGAAAATAACACTCATTCCAAACAGAAAACTGGGAGCATCCACCCTAACAATCCAGATTTATTCCCCATAAATGCTGCTTTTGTGCCTCATTTCTTCACTGATATTTATTAAGAATGTTTTCCCCAGCTGCCACGAAACTTGAAGTGTTTCTGGAAAAGTTTTATAGACTTTATTCTCCTCCTTAACTCTTGATAAGGAGCTTAATGCTGGTGATGTGATCCAAGCAAATTCTGGTTGGGAGTGGGGTTTTGAGATAGGCAGATGGAATTTACAGCACAGGCAATTCATATCCTTTTTTTTCCTTAAATCAGAGCATTCCCTGGCAGTAAAGGGAATAAAGCTTATCTGTGAATATGCAATTATTCAGGGTGACAAACAGCTGATTTGTTGGAGCCACAGAATTTATCTGGGCACTAAATAAAAAGGCAGAGAAGGAACAACACCCCAGCAAAGCTCAGAAAAAAAAGGAATTCAAATCAACTCCAATGTCAGCAGCGCTTTTCCTCCAAATCCACGGGAACATCTTCCCCGATGGAGAGGCAGGGATGAAGAAAAGCCAGCAGGGATGAAATAAATTACTGCCACACACTCATTCCCTGCACTTAAATCACCTTTTGGAAGGGTTTATTAATGACTTTCTGGGATATTGAATTCCTCAGGCTCAGAAGGGAGTGTTGTGGGAATAAAATATGGGGGGAAAACTCTGATATGACCCAAATATTTTACATCTGCTTATAGGGCAAGGGGGATTTGGGGTTTTTTTGGTAGGGTGCAGGTTAAGGGGTTTTGCATTTCTGGAGGGCTTGTGGTGTTTTTTCCGAGGTTTTTTTTTTTTTGGTTGGTGTTTTGTGGGTGATTTCTTTATTGTTTTAAATAGACTTATTAAAAACCTGACCCTAATGAGACCCCAGTTAAAGCCAGGCAGGCAAAGCCCAACTCCACCCCAACATCTCAACACTGCTGCCACTCTTCCCAGAGCACCTTTCCACAAACACCCTCCAACATAACTGTGCCATCAAATCTGACATGAGACCAGGTTTTCACATTCCCTTCCTCCCCACCACTCACCCAGAGGCTGGAGAAGCTCATTCCAGCTTCTGGACACCACAGGAAATTATTGATTCACTCCCCAGTTGGATAAAAACCCAATTAAAAAAAATATATATATAAACCCTATTCAAAACTGGATTCATTTTCCCCACAATTCCTCTCATGGCCTTGATGGCTGCCAAACTGGGGAGCTGCTCTTTGGGGAAAAAGAAGAGGCTGGATATTGCCAGCAGAAGGTTCTGAGCTCATGAAATCTCAATATTCAAAGCTCTTACCTCTTCCAGGACATCTGCAAGCTTGCTGAGGATCTCCTCGGGAAGGCTCTGGAATGTGGGAACGCTGCAAGAGAAAAGAAACCTCCATTAATGGATCCCTTTACACAGGGCACACATCCAGCTGCTTTCCTGCCCTCTGTCTTCCTGAGACTCCTCCTTCATGCTCTGGGGCTGAACAAGGAAAAAAAATACCATGGAAAGCTGCAGGATGCATTTGGTGATGATGGGAGACCACTGGGATGAACCTCTGGAGAGCCACCCCTAAAGCTGGTAATCAGCTAGGGATCTACAGGAATACATCACACAGGACTGCATTTTCTTCTTTAGTCACTTAACTCCTTTTTATACAGTTTTACAGACCTTGTGTGGGACTCTAATTGGTCAGGAGCTTTCTTGCCAGTTACTTATTTGTTATTAACAAGTTGTTATTCTGTATTGATTGCTCATTCAAACCCTTGGTGTGTACATGCAAGAAAAGCTGTTTGTGAGATAGTTTTCATTTTTCTATCTAAAGGTGTAAAAACAATTTATAAAGGTGCTGGTTGTTTTTTACCCAGGAATAGATTGTTATGCTAAGGAACTGCTCACACCAGGATTCCTTTCACATGGGAACTTGCAAAGTGCCGGCCTGGCAAGGCCAGCCACTGATTTTAGGAGAGCAGGCTGATTTTATGAAGCCTTTCTTCATGATTGAATTTCTACCTTACTGCAACAGGATCCATTCAGGATCCACTGGAATTCCTGTGTGCCACAAACCTGCTCAGTTCTATTCCTTCCTGCTCTGCTTCAGCCCCCCCAGAAATAAAATGCAACCCAAAAGAGGTTGATCAGTGAAGCAGCCCCAGACAGAAGAGAGAAACTACACCTGGATGGACAGAGGGCAGCGCACAGAGCACCCATCCAAGCCCTCAGGGAGTTTCTGAACACTTCCCTGGCTGTTTCTCAGCCAAATTTGTGGCTTTTCTTCAGCCAAAAAAGTGACTTTGTCACTTGTTTGGCAGCAACTCCCTCAGCAAAGGCTGCCCGGGCCAGGCTGGGATGAGAAGGTGATGCAGCCATAAAGGGCCCCCTGAGGCAGGGTCCACAGGACTGCACCTGGAGCAGGATGGGGGGCACAGCTTTGGGTCTCCACGGCTCCAGGGAGTATCCTGACTTTGAAGCTATATCTCCACTGCCTCACAGCCCAGGAGGCTGTGGAATTGTCCTCCTTGGAGAGACCCAAAAGCCATCAGGACATGCTCCATGGCAACCTGAACCAGAGGACCTCCAGATGTCTCTCCCATCCTCAACCAGCCTGTGATTCACAATACTCTGCTTTCTCATCCTCTCTTTTCCATAAAAACCTGATATCCATCAATACTCCCAGGTGATGCTGAAGGAAACACACAGACACAACAAAAATTTAACCCAAAATACGCCATGGCCCAGAGCAGCTGTGGCTGCCTCTGGATCCCTGGCAGTGCCCAAGGCCAGGCTGGATGGGGCTTGGAGCAGCCTGGGGTAGTGGAAAGTGTCCCTGCCATGGCAGGGGTGGCACTGGGTGGGATTTAAGGAGCAAAGGAGGCTCAGGGGGGCCCTTGTGGCTCTGCACAACTCCCTGCCAGGAGGGGACAGCCAGGGGGGGCCGGGCTGTGCTGCCAGGGAACAGGGACAGGACAAGGGCAAAGGGCCTCAAGCTGGGCCAGGGCAGGCTCAGCTTGGACAGCAGCAGCAATTTCTGCATGCAAAGGGTGCTCAGGCCTTGGCAGGGGCTGCCCAGGTGGAACCAGCATCCCTGGAAGGGTTTAAGAGCCAAGGAACTTGGGGATATTGGTCAGTGTGGGGCTCAGCAGTGCTGAGGGAACAGCTGGACTTGATCTTTAATGTCTTTTCCAACCTAAATTATTCTCTGATCATTTACTCTTTCTTTTAATTAAAAAAAAAGAAAGAAATAGTTTCAGTTGAATCTATTTAATGATAGCAAGACAAATCTGGGCTGATAAATGCAGAAAATATCACCTTTCATGCTCTCAGCAACAGCTTTTTTTTCCTTAGGAAGAACATTTTTATTACTGGGAGCATGTGGGCCCACATTGTAACAGGAGCAAGCAAACAACTGGACAGGAATTCTGTGACAGCCAGGCCTAAGCATAAAATGAAAATTCATTACATCAATTCCAGCATTCCCAAATGAGGAATGAACTTATGGGAGAAGATAACAGCCTTGGACAAGTGGTCAGATTTTTGCCCCCTAAACTCCCAAACTGGGGGGAACTCACCACAGGGTATTTTTTTATGGATAATTATGCCTGTGAAACCCAGGAATGGGTAGTGAAAGACATCTATTATAGAGCAAATCCATAAAAAAGTAGGGAATTAGGCCCTAAGTTCTTAAATTCCAACTCTTACCACGAGAAAAGCCTAAAACTTCAACTCCACAATAGAGCAAATAATGGGAAAAGCAATTTGTTGACAAAACAAACTCCAAACACATCATGGAATTACACCATCAGATTTAGGGGGGTTTATGGCAGGCCAGGATTCCCCTGAACAGCCAGAAGTGACAAAAGAGCCAAATATTTGAGTTTCTTTGAAAAGAAGAGAGCAAGATTTGATTCTTGAGGTCAATAAAGATCCCCCTCTGCTCTCCACAGGACAATATTCAATGGATTCATAAAACAGAGCCTTATTTCCCTCTAAGAACTGCCTGGATTTTTGAAGGACTTGTGTACAAAAGGAGTGTTTCCATGATTATTTCCAGGTGGGTACTTGCCCTGAAAGGCAAATGGAGCCTCAGCTCTCCAGGGAGAGCCTTGAGCATAACAACTGAGCTGCAAATTGCTGCAAGTGGGAAAACACATGGGAGGGAAGCAAATGGGAGCAGAAAATCTCACAGGGAATCTTTGATCACCACAGCAAGAGGCAGGAAAATCGTATTTCCCTTCCTACAACTGTGTGAAAAAAGTATAGAAGGGCAAACATTCAGCCCTTGAGCTGGGATGTGTTTAGGGTGGAAAAAAATCACAGCAAACACTGCTCCAGCTGTTCAAGGAACAATTGTTCTGCCCAGCAAAGCAGGGTCAAACAAACCCAGACTTTCTCCACCACATTCTCCCCCCACTGCTCCTTAAATCCCATCAATAATGAAGATTTTTAAACACCCACTCCAGACAGTAACAGTGCTACAGCTGGCAAAATACATATCCTGGTATGCAACACTGAAAGTCTTCAGCAGAGATTGAGACTTGTGACTTTTCTCCCTACCTGCAGCACAAAGGAAGGACTTCATTTATTCCTCTTCTTCCACAACCATCTCTCACTTTGCCCAGGAAAAGCTGGACTTGATGATCTTGGAAGCTTTTTCCAGTTTAATGATTCAATTTTGATTACAGAAGAAACAAGAGCAGCTTGCCAACCTCTCCCAGCACGATGGGGCTCCTTCTACTCTGCTCACCCAGTCCTTATGAGGGATTTTCTCCAGCTGCTTCTTATTCCACCTAATGAGGAATAATTTCTGCACCTGCCCTGAATCCACTCCCTGGATGAGGCTATGGAATCCAGCTGGGGATGGAGTGGATATTCACAACTGACCTCCTGCTCACCTGCAACCCTCAAAGTTCTTGAAGGCAATATTGGTGTGAAAAAGTATGGAGAGCAAATTATTTGTGCCTATTTGATAGGCAAAATACAGCCTGTCAAGGGTGGATCCAGGCCACCCTACAGAGGCAGCAAACAAGGAGGCAAAGCAGACCTCTAGCTCCAGCATTTGAGTTTTAACAGAAAATGCAATAAACTGGCTGATTTTCATCCATCCACAAACAGCATTTTATCGGGAGAGTGTGACTGCCATGGCAGGGAACGAGATGAGGAACCTTCTCCTCATCCCTGTCCCTACACCCTGGACAGTGAGCAGGGCCATGAGGAGAGGTGACATTCTCCTGGCTGCATTCCCCACTGCTCAGCCACAGAACATTGTGCAGGGATGATGGCAGTGTCTGGAGCCAGGAGAATTTCCCCTGGGGAATTGCTCCCTGTCTGGAGTTGGCTCCAAACATGACACATTTTCCCAGAGAGCACCAGCTGCCAAACTCAGGGAAAGCAGCTGTGCTGAAACATCCCTGGATTGACTCCCTGTCCCCATGGAGGAGCAGGGACATGCACAACCCAAAGGTCATGGCTCCATCCCTGGGGATGCAGCCACCAAGCTGCTCCCAACTTCCAGGTAGAAGCAACATCCCCATTAGCCATGCTTGGATTCGTGCCTGTGATCCATCCTGGATTCATGCCTGTGGTCCATCCTGGACTCATGCCTGTGGTCCATCCCATGGGATGGCTCCTGAGGAAGCAGCAAGGGTTTCCAGGCAGGGCTGGCTGTGGCCCAAGGTGTTGTTTGCAGCCTCAGTCCCTGCCAGCTCTGACAGGACATTTATCTTCTGACGCACACCACAGCCCGCAGGGCTCCTGGCTCTGCTCTGCCTCCAGGACACAAAAGCAGCCATTCACTCTCTAAATCCATTTCAAGACTCATTCCCAAACTTCTGAAGGGTGTTCAGTGAGGGTGCTCATCCAGGTCGGTGGCAGATGTTTCTCCTGGGATAAGCCTGGAACAAAACCTCTCTCTTTTATTGCTGCTTGGCACCATCACAATTGCTGTTGTTGTCACTGCTCTGTGCCTTGAGTAAGCAGAGCTCCAGACTCCAACACTACAGTAAAAGGAAATTAAGGCTGTCTGAGTTCCCTGAAACTTTTTTTTTGGCACTCAACTGTAATGAAAGCTGAAAAATGCAAATGTCCCTCTTTAGCACACTTAGGATGCTCCTACTGCTCTGTCTCAGTTCCAAAAGGACTGAGGCTACATCTGATCAGCACCAGCTGATCCTTGATTTGGGATATCACCAAAAAACAGGGTTTTGGACAACTCAAGCTGTACAGGCAGCCTCCCACTGTTGTGTCAGGGAGGGAATGCTGGCTCCATCAGGATCATGGCATCACTTCATGGAATCAGAGTGGCTGGGGTTGGAAGGGACCTCAAAACCCACCCATTCCACCCCTGCCATGGCAGGGACACCTTCCACTGTCCCAGGC